CTCTCCACTGTCACTACAAGCATGCTTAGTGTAAGGGATTGCATTTGAGTCATTGAAGCGATGCAATCAACTGGTTTTCCTTGAGATAGAAAACTTTGAATTAATTTGACTGTATGATCTGGTGAACTGGAAAGTGCCTTGAGATGACGTGTTGTGAATTAGCACTATATGAATAAACTGAATTGAAAATAAATATATAAAGTTATATAGGATAAGTTAAATATTATTTCTATCAAAGATTTTTTTTCATAGAGCTTAAAAAATAATGAAGATTGTGATCTGATAGTTATTTGAATAACAGTCACCACAAAGCGTTATTGCTGAAGAAGCTAGCCTTTTAGAGTGGTGTATCTGAGCATATACATGGAAAGGTGAGTGCAAGAAAGAAAAAACAAACAAAAAAACATTGGCACTGGATTCACAAGGCTGTATCTACATCTAAAAACTCTGTTTTTCAAAAGGAGAAAAAAAAATCAACAGTAGAAAAGAGTTCCTATCATTTCTAACAAACAGAATAACTTTAGTCCTATACAGAGAAGGAGGTATAGGAAAAACCCTCTAACTGAAATGTTGGAATTTCAAAAGATTTTTTTTTTGGCTTTTTGTTTTATTAATACTCAACATTTCACAGAAACACACTTTTTTATCAGCTCTAAGCCAAAAATATCAAAAATAATCAACACTTGAACGGCATCACTGACCAGCTTGATGTAGATTCACAACACTGCTGACTATCAATTAAATCTGGTCTTTGATGACCTCCTAATTTAAACTGATCCGAGCTTAGACCACATACAGTAAAGACATGTTACCTATTCTCTGTTGAGCAGAAGAATGTGACCCAGGGGTTGAGGACGCTGTTGTCAGGTGAAGGAGGTAGGTACATGGCCTCTGAGAAGCAGGTTAGTAATAATCTCAGCAGCTCTGCCCTTAAGATTAAAATAAATTATTATTTGACAGAATAAAAATACACCTTTAAAGTTTAAAGGTTTTCAAATGCAGGTGTTTTAAGCCAACTGACCTGTTGAGATCATGGATGTAGTTTAGAGGGGGGGACTGGGCGAATCCTACCCCAGCCTCCCAGATATACTCACAACTGTCTAAAGACTGCATGCTCTCCACTGAGTCCTGAAAGGGTCACAACAAACATTTTTAAACAAATTAATCAGGTTTAACAATTGCCAACAACGATCATCTTTTAAATAGAATTGTTTTAGACTACATCCTAATTTTGAAACAAAATGTAAATAACATTAAAAAAAACACTGTAAGTGTAGGATTGCTTCCTGGCTACATTCTTTACATTCTGAAGGAGAGAAGTTGCCCTCTTTCTGGTATGACCAGCAAAGCATTGCTTGTCATTATCCTTTGGCAAAACTAGAGTGACAGGTTAGTGAGTCTACTTCAGATCAGGAAGAAGGAAACAGTGCTGAAAAAACAGGTTCTAACCTTTCATTCATGAGACACAATTAGAGTGATTCTGGGAAAAGCCACAAACTATTCCCGAAAACCTTATCAACCACAGCTAATTTTACTGCTCAGTAAATGACAATTGAAAATAATTTTAAACTAGATACTCACAGGGCCTCTTCTGTGGCTGTGCACAGTGAAGTCAGGGCAGAAGAGCAGGTCAGCGATTGCAAGGAGCAGCGACTCGGCCAGAGGCCGGGCTCCATCGTCGTCGTCCAGCTCATCTGTCTGAAAAAAGATGGCCGCAAGGGCTTTATCTACACACAAATATTGTCTTCTTTTTATGGAAAAGACTCAAAACGATTAGAGTAAAATGTTATGACTAAGATATATATATAAATATAAAAAATGACAAATATATACCCCACCTTCTATTCATTGACTACAGGAAAATGTGTCTAGGTGGCTTAAGATATTTACTGGTTTCATATAACCACATCCCTTTATAATAGAACGTAGGTAAATTTAGAAAAATATGTTAAATTCTAACTGATTATAGTATGAAATCACCAAAACTACAATGTTACAAAAAAGAAGGAAAACCCAAAAAGTCACCAGCAAAAAGCACTCAAATATGAAAAGTAAAAAAATTCAAAAACACAAGAGATAACAAACAATATATGATACTAATATAATAAAGTGATTTGAACAATGCCAAACAGACCGTTAGAAATGCAATATGACTAAGGTGATCTAAAATGTCCCAAATAAATACATATAGACAACCAGTAACAAAACCTTAAATAGGTGTGAAAAATGTTCAAAAATATTTTTGCTATTTAAACATTGCCTTCACTTACCCCTGCATGCCCAGCACCAGGCACTGTTGACCAGAAGAACCCCCTCCAGTCTTGGTCCTCAAAGATGTAGGGAAGAATCCGGGTCAGGATGCGAGTGCAGTTCAGGACCACTTGCTTCTCCCTCTCTGTGGGACAGCCAGACTCTGCTCCCTGTACCAGCTTCTCCACCGCCTATATAAATATTACACATAAAATGTTTTCCCTGATGCATCTTGGGTGCAAAAGTAATCAAATGTGCTATAAAACTTGGACGTGTTTGTATAAGGGAGCATTGTTTTGTTTAAGCAAACCCTTTCATCAACTCTGAAACTGATAACAAACCCAGGCAACAAGCCATGGCTCTCCTGCTTCCTATTTAATTATGCTGCCTGTGTCTGTTTTGCTTCAGATAGGAAGCTGGGAATACGAGAGGCAGGAAGCAAAGAAAAGGGAAGGGGAATTGACTCATTTTTTTCCCACATCTGAGGAAACAAAATCCTGCAGCCTTTTTTCATCATTTCACTTCAATAGGGACATCCTCATATAAACCTGTTATGTATGGTATTTCAGTGTGTACCTTATAACAGAGGGTTGCCAGGTTTGAGGGGGACTCCTCTCGAACAGCTCTTATCTCTGCAGCTGGCACTAAAGCGAAAACATCCTGGACTGTGATGGTGTTGTCTGTCCAGAACTGATCCCAGAAGGCATCCTCTGTGGCTTCCACCGGCTGAGGACATCATGAACCACAGATTCACCAGATGGATCACATTTCAGACACAACATTCATATATAATGTTAATCTCTTTTTTATTTAGCAGAGGGACACGTTCAGCATTATGGTAAACAAAAAAAGACAATGAACGTGATGGCAGTGCAAACACACTCCTGCTTGTTTTAGGGAGATTGGACGCTTTTGCGCACCAACCTCAGCGTCCACCTGCCGCATCTGCAGACGTGTTTATTCCCGGAATGACGTCATCAGCTCTGATTTTTGCCCAACGCCACTGATTATCATCGTCAAAAACTGAATATGTGGGCTATTGTCATGAAACACGATTATCCACTTTTTATTCATACCACATAACACATTCTAAAAGCGCCGTTTAACGATACAGTTCATGTAGAAACAGCAAAATTCAGCAGAAATTAAAGGCTTTGTTTTCCAGGTCTGTTTGCTGATGGAGATTGATTTGGTTCTGCTGCTCGATCCCGTCTCCTCGGTGATGCTCCTGGGTGCGCTTCTAGGCTCTAATGGCAATGATTTGTTCAGACCACTGAAGCTTATATATACCTGCGTTTTGGTCGTGAGCTGGATCACCGCTTTCCTGAAATTCAGCTTTGAATCGCTGCTGCCCATTGCGGTCGATTCCCTTCAGACACGCAAGTCTGCTGCCGCTGAGAATCCCTGTTAATCTCACCTCCTTCCTACGCTTGAGTCATTGGCGGAGGCGTTTTCTTTTTTTTTTTTTACTTAACTATTGGCTGGCCGGAATATATGGAGCGCCAAAGGTGCCTGATTGTTTAAACCGTAGAAATCTATAAGTAAAATAAAAATTTGAATTAATAATGAATATTTGCTTTAACGAGCCACTAGTTTATTATTTTAAGAACTAAGAGTAGAAATTAATTACTTTAATGATAAAGTTATGATATATTTAAACTTTAAACTTTTCTCCCGGTGCACAGTATATATATTGCGAAAACACTTTACAGTACAATATTTTATTTGTTTTTTTGTCTGTTTTTTTTTAAATAATTTTTTCCACATTTTCTGACCACTTTTGCAATAATCTTTAGCTGCAGTAACACCACGATTTCCCCACTGTGGGAAAACAAAGGGATTTTTGTATTCTAATAATTTCCATATTATCATGAGCATTTCATAACTCTTTTACTTTTTCATAAATAAAAATACGCCGAGGCTGTAAAAATATATCCAAAAAAAATTACAAATTACAGGATTAAATAGACAAGCTTTTGGCTAAAAACAACAACAACAAAAAAAATAAAAAAAATGAAAAACTACCATAACTGTCCATTTTCCAATGTCAATTTAGCTATTCCTAATTTAAAACAATCATGAGTAAACCACAAACAAATTATATATCGAAACCTCCAGACCATCTTAACAAGCTTAACAATAAAACAAAGGAAAACAAAAAGGATTCTATACCATTTTTTTAAACAAAACTATGTGGTAATTCCTAGATAATTGCATGCCTTGAGCTGAAATATATGGTTACATTATATGAAAGTTAACATAACAAATGTGAACTTAGTTTATATGCCATTATCAGATATCTACATGCATGTTATTTTAACAGATTATTTATTTTAAATTGATAACACTTTAATACTAATGTGATTAAAATGCATTGTTTGATTTTGCAGTATAGAAATAGCTTTTAAATGACTTATTTGTTAGGAAAAAATACAAAGAAAACCTTTGGAAAGTCACGTTGGATTATGAAAATGTCGGTATTTTTCTAGATTCTACAGTTTCTGCTTCTCCCATCAATGAGAGCACTCTGAGTCTTAAAGCTAAAATAGCATGAGAAGTGCAACTGTGGACTAAAAAAAAGAGAAGTGTACCAACATCCTATCATTTATACAAAAAATATATACATAATATCTAAACAAATATAAATAGATTACGAGCTCCAAGACGGGATCTGGTTCTTCTCGTTCATATAAATGAGTCAGCAGATTAAATCTGATCAGACACGGAAGTTTAATCAGTCATCGACGCGCAGCCGCAGTGAGTTGTAAACACAACAGTTGCGGTTGGCTGTGTATGTTCAGTAGCTAGCGCGAGCTAAAGTCCAGGACATTATTTTGGCTCTAACATACACGAACATTGGGATTGAAATGACAGTACCGTGAGGAAATGCTGCTCTTTATAAATCTGTTTTAAAATCCCGAGGAAAGATTTCTAATATATAGAATAAAACGTTAGCTCGCTGTGACGTTAGCGTTAGCTCCTAACCAATGACAAAGCGCCTGAGAGGAATTGTTAACTAGCTAGCAAGAACGTTTAGGTGTTTCTCTGTTCAACGCTGCTTATAGTTGACTGTATTTCTTAAAATGGCAACATACTGACGTACCAGCGTATTAAACATGGACTATTGTATACTCATCTTATTTGGTGTAATTAGTTAGTTTGGGAAAAGTTAGCTTAAGCAAAGCAATAGGCCAGTAACAGACATCTTGAGACGATAAAGAAAAACACGAATAATTACTTCGGATTTAAACAACCACGGAAGCTTCTTCGTTGTCATATGTTGACTGAAAACAGGTTAGTTATTTCTTTATTTTGCCTTTATGGATATTGCAGGTTTAAAAAACAAAGTGCATTCAAACCTCGCAGAAGCCATTTTAGGCAACGTAGATTATGCTTGAAAGAGGAGCGGTTGTTTATGCGCTGAGTCCTCCAAACATAACGGTACTGGCTCCATGGTTATGAAGAGGATATTTTGACTTTTCGGTGGTCTTTCATATTTATATTTTGTACGAACCCATACGTTCAATGTTTTTTTGTTTGTTTGTTTGTTTGTTGTATTTTTTAAAGACCAAGGCCATAGGGTTTAGTTAAATGATGCATATTTATCAGAAATTTTATACCATTACAACAAAAAAACTGGATTGTATTTATATAGACTTACACCCTGTAGCAAATACTGTGTTTTTTGCAATTCTAGCAGGATTTATTTTGGGATTCAACTCCATTTGGAGACTTAAATGTTGAAAATGTTACTATAAATAGTTCAAGCTCTGTCCAGCTTGATATAGAACAACTGTAAAGATGGACTGTTGGGATTCTCCAGAGATTTCCAGGGAGAATTCGCTTTATACTTTGGGACCTTCTAACAGATATATGTTGGCCAATGTAACTCATTCCATTGCAGCTTTTAGGCTGTATGTTTACCAAGCATTGGACATTGTTTTCTATGACTAGCTTTTTTTCTGGAAGGTGTCCCACACAATGAATCTTAATGGTCGCCATCCAACTTTAAGGTGATTGTAAGCCTCGGTTTCAAGTTACTTTCAGCCTCAATGAGATGGGGCAAAAGTATTTTCCCTCTGGGATTATTAAACTATTTCTGATTCTGATTTTCTTTTTTAAGTAGAACCTCATTCATTGTCACAATCAACTCTGAACAGCACCCTTGTTCCTACTGAAAAAGTCTGTCCCCACAACATGATGCTTCCACCACTATGTTTTACTGGTGTGTTGAGTTCTTATCTGACTAGAACACCTTCCTCTGTGTGCCCTCTGTGGCAAACTTTGTAAGGAACTTGACATGTTTTTTTCTTTTGCCAAAGGCGCCGTCCTCTTTACTCTTTTTATTTTCTACATACATGACTAATAGTTATCTTGTCAACCGATATTTTTCCACATGAGCTGTGGCAGTGACATAAATGTACATATAATTTTACTTGTCAGGTTGTTGTTTGCACTGGATTTATTGAGATATATCCAAGTAAAGAAGGCCTTTTTTTTGTAATGTAATGATGTGAACCTCACACATTGTTTGGAGAGAATATTCTATTACTGTACCTTTTATCTCAGTTTCAGGGATTTTTCGTGTATTTCTTTTACTGCAGGAAGCGGCAGCACAGCGGTGGTGATGAGGAGAGTAGCCACCTGGTGCCTCAAGCCAAAAGGCAGAGCAGAGCTCATCCTCTCTCCCCTGAGCCAGGTCGGGATGCTTGGGACTCAGAGGTACTCTTTCTTTATCACTCTCTCTCTCCCACAGCATAAAAAGCTGTTGTGATTTCTCTTTGTGGGGAAAAAATGAATGAGTCCAGCTGTAAAATGTGTCAACTAAAGGCTTAATTTTCATTTATCCCCGTCTGTGGAATGCCCTCCCAGACCACCTTAGGGCCCCACAGACGGTGGATTGTTTTAAGAAAGGACTAAAAACTTTCCTTTTTAGAAATTCCTACAATTGTTGATTTTAGATTTTTTTTAATAGGCTACGTATGCCTTTTAATGTATTGATTTTAATGACTGTCTTTTTACTCTGTTTTTAATGTTATGGTCTTTTAAACTTGTTTTGTAGCACTTTGAGATTTGAAATCAAATGTAAAGTGCATGATAAATAAAATTCATTATTATTATTATCCAACAGACATCCAACAGTGAGAGCAGCAGCAACATAAGCAGTCCTGAACATGCAGCTGGGAGTCGGTGTGCTTTGGGCCCCTGCAGTCCCTTCAGCTCCGGCTTCTCGTCAGAGCTGGGTGGCCCAGCGAATCAGCTGTCATACCTGCAGATCAACCGCATCCTCAGGGAGGCTCACTTCCATAGCCTGCAAAGCCGAGGTCAGCTCAGAGACCTGAGATGAAATAAAGCTCTACTCTGGGATGCCAAAGGACTGAAAATGTGTCGCAGCATCATTTGCCGATGGTTTCTTTCAGCTCTCCCTCTCCCATCTTCAGTCATTGCAACATATCACAGTTGTACATATATGTGGGTGGAGGAACAGTTCATTTCTCACATAGATTGCAGTGTTTTCAGTTGAGCAATAACAACTATAACTGTGATCTACTCCAAACATTCTATAATCCACTTATTTTTCTGAAAGATCCGATTTACCAACTGCTATGAGAGCCTTACTGTGTACAGGATTGTTGGTTCTCCTGTGTCCTCTTTAAATTGTAAATTGAAAAGAATAGAGATGCTGAAGTGCCACCAAAAAACAAACAAACAGGTTTTGGACCAGTCAGGTGGGAAGTGTTTAGTCTTACAGTAGGGTACTTGCAGAATCGGAAGGCTGTGGGTACATGGACCAGTCTCAGGGAGGATGTGTCTTAGCCTGCTCTCTTGCTTTCATATGTTGGGGGTGGGAGGGTTAATTTGGGTAGAACTATTACAATGTTATCTACTAGACTTCAAATTAGTTAAAGACAAGCCATGTCATAGAGCTTAGGGTTTGTCGTAGTGCTTCAAAATACTTCATGATCATCTCAGATCATGTTGAAGGATAACCCTACTTTGGTTGAAGTTTTCTCACACATTTTGTACTTTGTGAACAAACGCGATTATTATAATTTTTGTAGCCTAGTTCATCCCCCTGCTTTGATTTTTGCCTCAGGATCATGCTTTCTCCTGATCTGAACAACAACTTTGATGAGCTGGTTGTTAGAATCGCTTTGCTGCCTTATAATAGCTACATTCTCTGATCAAAGGTATTGAGTTCCTAGCAAAAGTCTTCATGCCTGTTTGACGTTTTATTTTTTGTTAATGTTATCCAGTCTACGCATCAGCCTGTTTTTTTTTTTTTTATAGGTTTCGTTTCGCGCTAGAACAACTCAACATATTCCACCAATGTAAAGGTGAAAAACAAACATGGTTTTTCATATTTTTCGCAAATAAAAGATACTGAAAGTGTGTCATGATTTACCACAAGGTTTACCACAGGTGTTTTTAGGCATTTATATAACGATCCAGTACATTCTTATTGGCTATCATATCATTACAGCATATACTGCTTAAAGAAAAGAACCTTATATAAAATAGTGTACCCCATACTGCTTACATTAAGAAGTGCATACAAATGATTTGCTTTTAACTACATATTTAATGTTTTTTTTTTTTTTTTTAGTTAAGGTGTCAGAAAAGAAAAAGTTTACAAATCAAGTCTAACATTTGGACTGTATTCCTGGAATCCTGAAACGATCCCCCTAAGTTACTACAGACCTCATGACTCCCTCTGATAAACGCTTCTGTTACTCAGCCCATCAGTTTACATGAGAACAATGCTGCGCATGCTTTGTAGTTGTGCCAGTCTTTACATTTAATAACGAAAAGTAAAACAATGGCAATACAGAAAATGACCGACGGTGATAAATTTAAGCTTTTAATTTATTCCCCCAATTGCTATGTTAGAAACCCTTGGATATTGTTGAAAAAAGAATATTTTAATTTGCTCCCTTGTTCAACCCTCAGTAAATGTTTTAATTACACTACTCCAGAACTTTCTCCCTCATCTGTTTGCTGTGATTCTTTTCATAATGCCGTTTGCTCAATGTCTAAAAAAACAAAAACCTAAGCGGCCTTCAGTGAACATTTAGATTTATACCAAAATCCCATTTTTGAAAAAATAAATCTATATTTATCATTATTTTCCCTCCGTTTGATGAATATGCACTACTTGCTCCAAAACACAAATTCCAATTAAATACAAGTAATGTTTCTGGTTATTAAAAAAATATAAACACAAATGTAGGAAACTTCAAGGGGTATGAATACTTTTGCAGGGCACTGTAACCCATTTCAAGTAGACACACTGATGAGCGTTTCTTTGGAAAGTCATTTAACGATAAAGCATCTTCTTACATCTTATGGTTTACACTAGCTTTTTAGGAAAACCAAAATCACCAAATCAGGGGATTTTGGTTTCCAGTGTCAACTTCCAAGAATCATGAATTGTACACTGATAAATTAAAGTCATTGTGATTTAATACTTTAAAAGTATTTCCATCTGCCATAAATGGTTTAGATTCTTATTTTTGTGGATATACCTAAAATCTGATAAGCACAACTGTTGTACTTTAGTTTCCACGTGACCATCAAGAGAAGTGTTTGTTTTTATAAGAAATATATTGTCTTTTGACGATGCTCCCCTTCATTTTACCCAAAGTACAAAGGAATGTACGGAAATGCTTTGACAATATTTACACATGCTTTAATACATCTTTCTGTGTATTAGTCGCTGTTTTATGGTTTTCAGGATCTGCTGATGCTGGTAAAGACGTGTACTTCCATTTGTATAACAGCTAAAGCCCAATGGTCTGGGGAAGGAATTAGAAAGTTACCTTTTTGCATAGTTCCTGGCCAACCAGTTATTAAGTTAATCTAATGGAGGTCAGGTATGATGCAGATTGTTGCAAAGTACCATCTTTATGGCATTTTATGGGAGGGGGGAGTGTTTTTTTTTATTTATTGTATTTGGATAGTTTATCAGAAGCATCCCTCCTAAGTTCAAGTGTTGCTGAGTTTGTGTCTCTGAGCTGTTTGCCGGTTGATTTTCCTGACCCGTCCTGATGAAGGAGAAACATCGCTCCTAAAGTGGGATTAGTTTGTCCATTAAATCTGAAACCAAGGTGTCAAAAATGAAAGCTTTTTTTGGAGCTGTGGTTCATATTTATTTTTTGGTATTCTATTTTTTTTTATTTAGAAATGTAAAATATTAACATTAAAGATTTTTTCTGCTTCAGTGGATATCCTCATTAAAAAAAATAAAAATTTGATTTTAAAGTGAAACTGTCTAATTTGATGTCTTTAAAAATGATACACTAAAGTCTCCGTTTTACTTACCACCACAGTGTTGTTAATAGTAATATCAGTAGGTTATTCACACCATCAGCATATATACCTGCCAGGTTGGTATGTATTATATTCCTTGTGTTTGCCCCCCTACAACCCCCACCGTCACAAATGTCCATAATGAATGGTTTCCATGGACTGAGACCCTTTTTAATGAGACATGACCTAAGTCTTAAAGAGGAGCTTAGAAAGGTTTCTTTAATTAGCACAGTGTGTGTCCTTGTCGCAGACACAGTAACAGATTACATACATTAATGCACTGCTCGTAACCACAGTTACCGTAGTGGAGGCGCCGAGTCCTCATTACTGGCCTGCTTCAATCCCCCCACTCAGCTTCTGCTAAATTTGAGATGACAAGTGGGCCGGTGATACATGAGAGACCTACACGGCAGCAACAACACTCCTTAATCAGTGCTTGTTGGAAAAAAGAGGGCATCCTCTAAAAGCCTCCTTTTTTTTTACGTGTTTGGAAATCAAAGTCAAACTGCAAGATTAAAAAAAAACCTGTGTAAAGATTTTAATATTTTCAAAACATTTTGATAACTAAAATTGGCAAGTAAAATTAATACATTTAGTTGGGTGTGCTGTTGACTAATAAGTTAGATGCATCAGCATGGTGAGAAACAGTGGTAACACTTTGAGAAAGAAAACTGAAGCAGGTTATGAGTTTGGTGAGGTCTAAAAAATGATTTACACAATGTGCTGCATATAGCCCACAAAAGGAGGACATTAAAAATTATCTGCTAACGGGGCTGCAGCCATGGTGCAAAGAAGTTCCCAGAAAATCTTAAATGCCATGTTGTACTGCTAAGATGGGATTGCTCGGTATGTCTGTATAGTGCAAAATTGAATGCATACGTTTCATGTGTTAATGTTTTGAAACGGGGCCCAAATGCAGGAATAGCAGGAGCTTCACTTTGATTTTAAAAATGCAAAGAAAATCAGCACATTTCAATCAGCTTTACAGAAAAAAAAATGTAAACTTGATTTTTTTTTTCTATCAGAATGCAATATAAATTAGATTAACAATGAAGCAGAGGTGTTTAGTTTGGGTTTGATGTCATTGAGATATTTAAAATGCCAGTGCAATGGTTTTAATAGACAGTTCGGCAAGCTCTTGGTTGAACTACGTAATTTCATTTTAATTTGTTCAGACTGGATTAGTATGAAAAATAAAAATAGGATATGTAGTTTTCTTATTATTTCCAGACTTTAATCACTGTCCCATTTACTGGTAAATGACACTGAGGATTTCTAGAAATTAGTCTACATCATTTTTTTTACCCTATCGTAACCTTGTCCTAAGATGGACACATAATATGTTCTTCTCTTAAACAGTATCAAACCTGCAGTTCAAACTGAGCATCAGTATGGGGAAGAAAGGTGATTTGAGTGACTTTGAACGTGGCATGATTGTTGGTGCCAGAAGGGCTGGTCTGAGTATTTCAGAAACTGCTGATCTACTGGGATTTTCACGCACAACCATCTCTAGGGTTTACAGAGAATGGTCCGAAAAAGAAAAAACATCCAGTGAGCGGCAGTTCTGTGGGTGGAAATGCCTTGTTGATGCCAGAGGTCAGAGGAGAATGGCCAGACTGGTTCGAGCTGATAGAAGGGCAACAGTGACTCAAATAACCACCCGTTACAACCAAGGTTGGCAGAAGAGCATCTCTGAACGCACAGCATGTCGAACTTTGAGGCAGATGGGCTACAGCAGCAGAAGACCACACCGGGTGCCACTCCTTTCAGCTAAGAACAGGAAACTGAGGCTACAATTTGCACAAGCTCATCGAAATTGGACAGTAGAAGATTGGAAAAACGTTGCCTGGTCTGATGAGTCTCGATTTCTGCTGCGACATTCGGATGGTAGGGTCAGAATTTGGCGTCTACAACATGAAAGCATGGATCCATCCTGCCTTGTATCAACGGTTCAGGCTGGTGGTGGTGGTATCATGGTGTGGGGAATATTTTCTTGGCACTCTTTGGGCCCCTTGGTACCAATTGAGCATCGTTGCAACGCCACAGCCTACCTGAGTATTGTTGCTGACCATGTCCATCCCTTTATGACCACAATGTAGCCAACTTCTGATGGCTACTTTCAGCAGGATAATGCGCCATGTCATAAAGCTGGAATCATCTCAGACTGGTTTCTTGAACATGACAATGAGTTCACTGTACTCAAATGGCCTCCACAGTCACCAGATCTCAATCCAATAGAGCATCTTTGGGATGTGGTGGAACGGAAGATTCGCATCATGGATGTGCAGCCGACAAATCTGCGGCAACTGTGTGATGCCATCATGTCAATATGGACTAAACTCCCTGAGGAATGCTTCCAGCACCTTTTTGAATCTATGCCATGAAGAATTGAGGCAGTTCTGAAGGCAAAAGGGGGTCCAACCCGTTACTAGCATGGGGTACCTAATAAAGTGGCCGGTGAGTGTATAAACCCATTTTAAAACTACAGTATAAATACTGCGGTCTAAAACCTGAATGCTCATAGCAAGAAAATGTGTCTTACTAACACTATTTGAAATGAGGTTTTATCTAACACACGACAGCTCTCAAATGATGACTAAATTTTAAATTTTAGAAAAATGTAGAGCTGAAAACTGTTTCAAGCTTATAGTGTCACTGCTAGGTTGAGGGTTTTTAAGCACAGAACAAAAAGTTGCAGCACCAGAACAAATACCCCTAAAATAGTGGATAAATGTGTGTATTTGTCTATGAAAACACAAATGGAATAATCTAATGTCTATGTGTTCAATACATGCATGAGTATTTATTGAGAAATTTGTGCAATTTGTGTTATACTGACTTTTAGAGAAATTATTCTTTCATAAGTGTAAATATGATCTAGCATTCTTTACTTTTTTTAATCCAGTAAATGGAGTAAATTGGGTGTTGGAAGAGTTCAGGATTGAAATCTCTATTGTCATTTTTAAACTTACAATACATTTTTAACATATGCTCACTTTCTAAGAATGCTGCCAAAATGTTGGATTAGAACCTGAATCTCTGCGCTGCCATAGTCCAGCAGTCTATTATTTCTCTCTTTCCATCCATCATGGTTGAATATTTTGGGGCTGTTAACTACACCATCCCCTGATTGATTCAAAAAGCATGAGGCTCATTCTCATTTCTTCTACTGCATTAACAACAGCTGCTGCAGCATATGGATTTCTACAAAAAAAACTAACCTGTCTTTTCAGCTCGATTCACAAACACTTGGAAGTGAAGAGTAGATTCGGGAAGCATTCTCTGTAATTATGATACCAACCTGGAAAAATAACTCTCAGCAGGAACTTATATTCCTCCCGGCTTACATCTCAACTTCATCCTTTCCAGTTTGGACACAATCATCTGGAGCTCGGCAGATTAGATTGTTTGTTTGGAGGCTTCTGCTATGACTTCCAAGTTCTGTAAAGTAGCAAAAATCTGCTGCGTCTCAGACTTCATCTGAAGAACAATGCCAGGCGTTGCTTCAAACTACACATTTTTATGGACTGTTACTAAAGAACTGGGCAACTTGAAACGAGTGTTTCCTGAAAAATGTAGCCATTATGTCTTTTGCTCTTCCTCTCACATCATGACAGAAAGAGGAAGCAGCCAGTTTGCTCATGTGTTGAAGGGCAAATTGGTCACTTTCCAGTCTGTGTTCTCCTTGTTTTAGAAGCACAATCAATGCTCGCTTATTTCAGCTTTTGCCTTTTGAAAAAAAAAAAAAGTAATTAAAATATATTCTGAGGTCATAAAAATTGCATCAAGCCAAAGCATCTAAAACATGAATACCAACTCAAAAATGGATTGAAACATGCGTGTCAAAACCCTAACCCTTCTGTGCTACTTAACCAACCTTTGATTTTTGAAGGGTTGTTGATGCTAAATCCCAGAATTTTGTCCACTGCATGGAGCTCTCTTTGAGATGTTGGGCTGAGTGGTAGTTTTTCCACAGTGGGTAACCAAGGCAACCAGGGGCTCTTTCTTCTGGGCAGTCTGGATTGTCAACTCCAATCTAAATAAATGGCTTTGCATCTTTTAATCAATAGCACTTCTACCTTTTATGCAGAGTAGTTTGTTCTTAACAGCTGTATTAGGATGTACCCAAGTGGCATGCAGTGAATTACATTCTCTTCAACATCCTTCTTTAGCAGAGCAATTACACCTTCACAGCATCCTGTCTTTGAGGCTGCATGTTGATGCTCCAAACTAGCCGGTCCATCCTTTCCGCTGATCCTAGCTTCCAGTACGCCTTAAAGGTATAGTGGATGATTTTGTTTTTCCAGGTGGATCATCAAAATAAGTGGTCGTCCTAATTGTCCATCATTCCGGTGATATGTTTGCGTAAGGTCGTCCTACGTGCTCGTCCCCTAGTGGAAGAATTGCAAATCTTCTTTTGGAAAGTAAGCTTGTAGAAGTGCTGCAAAAAGGAACTTTTAAACAGAGCGCACAGGAGGAGAAATGGGCTCGTGCATTTGTCTCGCAGGCGTTTAATGGGCGTTCCCTCTCGGGAGGGTACAGGGTTGTGCATGTGCATTTCTTTTTTTAAGATGGAGTAGGCGGGTCTTTTCAGAAATTTGCAAAAATCCTCCACTA